ATGTGGGATCTTTTCGCTGCCCTAAGTGCCCTGATGTATTCCTTGGTGCTAGTTGTTAACATTGCTCGGTTCAATTCGGATTTGTCGGACCTCCATAGGTGCTCTAGGCGTCTCCTCTGGCGCTTCATCTCCCGGAGCTCCTCGGTGAACCAAGGGGGTCTCCGGGATCCGCCGCCTCGGAGGTGCCGTAGTGGCGCAATCCGGTCGAGAGCCTCCGATGCTGCCGAGTGCCAAGCAGCAACCAGAGTCTCTACCGGACTGTGGGCGAAAGTATCAGGAATAACCCCAAGCTCCGTCTGGAACCCTAACGGTTCCATAAGTCGCCTGGGGCGGAACCACCTGGTCGGTTCCTCCTCCCTACAGTGGGGGTTTGGCCTCCGGAAGTCGAGCCTCTTTGCTCCTGCATGGCTGCTGAGTGGAGCCCGTCACCCCCACTGACCCGGGAACCGGACGGGGCTCCTCACCTCGCTAAGTAGGAAGGAAATGCCAGGCAGGAACAGAAACTACAGTCCCTGGGGGCAGCATCAAATTAATTTAGAATTGAGTAGTCAATTAATCAAATTGAATATTTAATAAATTTTTGATGAATACTTGAGCAATATAATATTTCCTACTTAGGAGCCAAAGCAGTGTTTGGACCAAAAGACTGAGAGGAAACTAGGAGCCAATAGGGAAAGGTGGAACATTTAAGAAAATTTCCTTAGTCTATGGACCAATCAGGCTGTGACTATATCCCATGTGTAACCCCTCCCTCGACCCCACAGGAAAACTGGGATATTCTTTGAGTCAGAGGTTAATATGCAGGAATTGTCTATATTTACATCTTTTTTTGATACACTCGATTAGAAAGTGGTAGACTGTCCTGATCCTATTAAAAAGTGCAGGATCTCCATTCTGTGTCTATATATAACTTTTAATTTAATACAGTAATGATAAACAATAAAATAAATATTACAGTATTTTTTTCAAAAATATTGAGAGAATTTTAACATAGTATACGGAATCTGTTTAGTATGTCCAGCAGTCTACTTCTGGATGAATAGAAGCATTCTCTAAAACGTGACTGGTGAAATCCTGAGGCTTACTATGACCCATTTACTGAGTGCTTTGCTAATGTAATCTCTTGACCAAGGATTATAGGATCGCATTGTCTTGTTTTATTGTTATATACAATTGTAATCTGACAACATTAACAAACTGCTTGGAGGAGTGAGGCTTGTTGCTTGCTCTTTAGACCATTGTTCATCCTAGCTTTTGCAACAGGTTAGAATTGGGTTGGGTGTTTGAGATCTCTCCTTCATAATGAAAGTCCTCACATCTGTAAAGGTGGCAATGATGAAGCAGCAGTTGAAGAAGACAAATTTGGTCACACACGTCTGGATAATTACTATTTAGTCTCAAACCTATGTTCCTTGGTCAAGGTGTTGGAGTGTTAATCTTTTAATTCCAAGTAATGTTGGATACTCTTATTTATTTAGATACATTCTGATCAAAATGTAGGCTTGGTTATGAGAGGGATATGATCCTGATCGACCTGTTGTATGACTTATATTGGGGAACAAATGGGGAAAGTGTGCCCTGTAAACTCATCTGCATGTCTTAATAACTTTTTATACTATTTAAAATGAAATCAACTACAAGATTCTTCAACCTTCACATATATCCTTCCAAAGGAATGGTCTTAAGTATTATTATCTATTGTACCACATTGCCATTAACCTATGCAAATCCATTCCCTACTCTTTTCAACATATTTATTTATTTGTAAATTTTATTGGCCGCATATATTACCTTATATATATAAAGTTGACTTCAGCTGAATATTATTACTATAAAGTATAACTCTTGATTTGTCACTGAAGGGTTTCTTTGCTATGGATGAGAGTATACAAGCTGACAATTTATATAAAACAAGCTAGTCCAGACAGAAGCTGACATTTCATCTTGCAAATACTACCTTTTTGCTCTCCTTCCAACTGATTTCAATATAAAAAGGAAAGTGTCAATTGTAGCCAAAATCTTGTGAATTAATATGGCAATATTACTTTACATATAAAGCTAAAATTAATCTGTTCACAAATATAATAACTTTTGCTGAAGAAAAAAGTATCTTACTTGTTTTTTTAAAGTTGTAATGGCTTCTGCATGCTGCTTCTTTAATGCTTCTTTCTCATGCTGAACAGCTTCCTATTTGTTGACAATAATTTAAAATCTAATATATGAAGTTGACCTTTAAGTACATTTTTTAAAAGTTTCATCAATTACGGTATTACGGTACCGTAATTTCAGTGATTCTAGACTACTTACAAAACATAAAAGTCCAATACAAAATAGTAAACACATCATTATCACCATACCATTAGTACATTAATATTTAATTTTCATACAATTTAATCTTAGTTCATAATGATGATTCAAAAAAAGATAATAAATAATAGCTTAAGCAAGCCATATCAGGTAAGAATAACAATTATTTTCTAATCAAGGTGCAAAAGGATTGGTTTATTTGTGTGATAAAAGAGGCATATATTTTCTATAAATTAGTATGGAAGAGAAGCAACAATAGGATAATCTTCCAATAAGTATGAAACACTTTAATTTTTTTCTTTCAGTTCCAACGTATGATTTGTTTTGCAAAGAAATTAGATTATTCAAAACAGTAGCAATCTTGAGTCTTGGACTATATTCAAATTTTTCTGGGTTAGATGAAAGTTTAAAAAAAGGCATTGGAATACAGCTTCTTCAGATTTAGTTTTGCCAGATTTTAAAACTAAAGTTTTAAACACATGTAACAGTTTTAGGATCCAGTTAATTATTTTAAGCACTAAATTTAACATTAAGTATTTAGTGGAAGTATATTAAAAAGTTCAGATATCAGTTTTTACTTATTCTTAAACTTCAATAATAAGGTCAAAAATTATGACCAAGTCACCCACCTTCTGCCATACAAGGTCCTGTTTTTCAGCAACATGTCTGCTAATTTGTTTCTCGTAAAGGTTTTCTGAATCCTAATTTCAAAATTAAAACAAAATCATTGTTGTAATATATTATATAATAAGCTTTATTATTAAAATGTTTTCAAAGGATTAATAACCTGGCTGAAATTGATTTAACACTGAAAATTATTTGTTTATGTCAATGCATTTTCTTACTCTATCATCCTAAAAATCTTAAAAGTTGTATTTATGCAAATGAGAATACATTTAAGAACATGGTGACTTTTTTAACCCATGGCTGGGTTTGACATCTTCCCCCCAATATAACATTTGCAAATGAATTTATGGGAACCTGTTCCCCTAATCTTTCTAGGAAATGGAATGGAAGGAGAATTACTAGTCCATGAAGTTCTTTTTACAACCTGCATGTATTTCGACAGTATTTCTTTATTCAGGATAAACTTAGAAGAACAAAGGGGATAATACATATGAAATTTATACATTAAGCCCTTTCCACAGCAAGACAAAAGGTATAATTCATATGAGATGTATATATTCAGCCTCTTTCATAGTCTCAAAGCAAAATTCACGGAAGGACACAGCTATGTTTTTAACTCACTGTAGATTGCAAACTTTTTAAAGCTCATTTGAAATAACATCCTTGCTAATGTTACCACTCAATATTACAAATAAGTGATCTTTTTAAAGAAAAGTCCATATCTATTCATCTTCAGGCTGCCTATTTGCTATGCCTACAGAACTCCTAAACAAGACTACTTCTCATGGATCTGATAAATCTACTCACAAATCCTGAAATGATCACATTTTTTATCAGCTGCCAAGCATTCCACCAATGCTTCAGTAAGAACACAGGAAGCTGGCCTGGCATTGTCTTTTTAAAAAAGTATTTCTTTTTAAATATTTTATTTAAAATGTTTAAAGAAAGATTAAAAACAAACAGAAACTAATCTGAAAGTCTTTTCCAGATCTAGGTTTTATGTGCTATAACAAAAATGAAGGAATCTGCATTGTGTCTACTAATCTAGAAATTCATGTACTGTCTGACAAGTTCTGCTGTTTCCCTCAAATATCTAAAATGACCCAAAGTGCTTCTGTGAGTTTTGTGTGCTAGATACACAAACAAAACTTACAAAGGTGCGTTGGGACATTTTAAATATTTGGGAACTACAGGAATAGTCTGATACTATGCATGGTATGTCAGTTGACATATGCCCATTGAACAGAAGATGGAAGGTAGAAAAACTTTGTCAATTTCTCCCACAATCCCTTTGGAGGAACTGATGAATTATCAAACCAACATTTCACTATAAGGATTTGAAACTCAAGCCTGGATGAGAGGTAGAATGCAGCCAAAGATCAAATTGAACTAATTTATGGCTTCTAATGGCTGATGCATATTTAAATTCTAGAAAAAAATAGTTTAGTGTAAACTAGAGAGAAAGCAAATGAAGTAAAAAAAAAAAGTGGTGCAGTGGTTTCAATTACATTGCATCACAGCCAGTAATAAACACTGTTTAATCTCAGCCAGAACTGCAACACTGTTAATCACAAAAATACAAAATGTCCAAAGCTCCTTCCAAGCTGGCCTACAGATTCCAGAAATTCCACAGAATTTCTTGCACAGTGTTGTTCTTATCTGCAGGTGTTTCGACCTTTGTCTATAGCTTAAGCTAAATATTTTTTCTGGAATTTAAATATGCATCAGACATTAGAAGCTATATTGTTGGATATTCCCACCCCCACCCCACCCCCGCTGACAGGCTGCAAGAAGTTTCCACCAAGGTCCTCTGTTCTGGCGGGAACAGAGGTTGAATCTCATTGGTTAAGAGGTCTGACAGATCCCTTTAAAAGGGGATGCTGCCCGACCATTCCACAGCCGGATGTTTATTTGACTTGTGAAGTAATTGTAATTAAGGAACTGTTGTTTACTGAAGCCTTTTGTGCCACCTTTACCCAATCTAACACATACATTATTTCAAGTTGATCTTTTCCACAGCACAATAGATCAATACAGTAAAATTAAATGTATATCATTAAACTGTTAATAATCAGACATTTGAATAGAACTTGACAAGCATTATTATTTTTTACAATTATGTATATATTTGGATTAAACTTGTTTCAGTAAAAAATTGGAAACTTGAAGCTTTAAAATAGTACATGAAAGGGAAGTAAATATTGTCTTTTTTGAGGGGGGAAATTCAATAATTACATAAAAGATATCTCAAAAAGTTTTTTTAAAAAAAACCTAATCTTGAAGTAAAAGGGAAAGGCTTCTTTAAAATCACCAGTATTATTTGTTTGCCTGCTTGCTTGTTTTTATTATAAATACAGCACTTTGAATTTATTTTGCCTTGAAACAAACAGTTCTGTTGCTCTTTAACCAGAAAACTTTCTTCTGTTTAGGAGAAAAATGTATATCATTTTAAGAAGATAACAAGCAATATAAAACCTTTACAAGTGTTGCTGTTTTATTAGCTGCCTTAGGACTACAAGAATTTAAGTGTTTTTTTTACAAAAACACCACCATAATAATAAAAGAGGAGTCATTTGATGGTTTATTTACTCTCTATAACCTTTAGAAAGTGTCAAGTCTTTTGTAAAATGCTTGCTTCAGGCTGTAGTTTTACAAGAAAGGCAGTGTATTGTCCAGAGCCCACTGATTGTTTGACCCTGAACAGATTTAGGAATACTGTACAGCTGGCTCATATCCAAGCAGCCCAAACTACGTACTTTTACTATCTTTTTCAAAATCATAATCCACCTCCTACAAAATTGCCATATCTATTTCTTTTTGTTACCCAACCAAACAATTTCCAGACGTATCGATTCATAGTCTGTTTAGGGTGCCCTACATAAAGTAGTTCCTCAAGTAACCACTTATCCAAATTTAGTGAAAATTTCAAAGTTTAACATCCACTATAGTATGTCTTAAAAGAAGAAAAACAGGTTCCTTCTTGGATCCCTGTATACCAATAGTAAAAAAAAGAAGCAAAATATTAAACAACTGATATGGTCAGTGACTAACACAGTTAGTGAACCGGATTTTCTATGTATGTTACTTATTTTTGATGTTTTGCTGGCATCATTATAACAAATAATTTAGTGTTTTTGCTCTGAGAAATGCTAAAGGGTAGCGGTGTCATTATAATAAAGAGAAAGAAAATATCTGGGTTAGCACATGAGTTTTGTGTACTTTTGCAGTACCATAGGCAGTAAATCTTCAAGTAGTAATACTTCCGGTAATACTTTACTAGGGATCTATCAGCAGGGCCGGATTGTCCTATAGGCTAACTCGGCTTCAGCCTAGGGCCTCAAGATCAAGAGGGGCCTACATTCAAATTGTAGCAAAACTCATGTGCTAACCCAGATATTTTCTTTCTCTTTATTATAATGACACCGCTACCCTTTAG